AGCTGCTATCGCTGCTGCTGCTGCTATCACTGCTGCTGTTGCCGCTGCTGCTGCTATTGCTGCTGCTGTTGCTGCTGCTGCCGTCCCTGCTGCTGTTGCTGCTGTTGCTGTCGCTGCTGCTGTTGCTGCTGCTGCTATCGCTGCTGCTGTTGCTGCTGCTGCTGCCATCGCTGCTGCTGTTGCTGCTGCTGCAGCTGTTCCTGCTGCTGCTGCTGCTATCGCTGCTGCTGTTGCCGCCGCTGCTTCCATCTTTGCTGCTGTTGCTGCTCAGTGTTGCTGCTGCTGCTGTTGCTGCTGCTGCTATCGCTGCTGCTGTTGCTGCGGCTATCGCTGCTGCTGCTATCGCTGTTGCTGTGCTGCTGCTGCCATCGCTGCTGCTTTTGCTGCTGCTGTTGCTGCTGTGCGGCTGCTACTGCTATCACTGCTGCTGTTGCTGCTGCTGCTGCCATCGCTGCTGCTTGTGCTGCTGCTGCTATCGCTACTGTTGTTGCTGCTGCCGCTACTGCTGCCGCTACTGCTGCCGCTTCTTCTTCTGCTGCTGCTGCTGCGGCTGCTCAGTGCTGCTTGTCATAGTGCACCTCTATGGCATCCCGCTGTTGACGGTCACTCGGACGGTGTATGCTTATTTCGTTCAGCACCCCTCACCCCCCCCCAACACACACACACACACACACATCCTGGCCGGGCATTTCTCCCGCTTTTGGTTTGTTCACTGCCGGGCTCAGTTGTCAGTTGGCACTTTCTTCTTGTTCTTCACTGAGCTGAAGTACACTCAAACGTCTCTTACTCCGGACGCCTCAGCTACGGGCACGTCTCTCTACCAGGCACCTTCAGTTCGAGTTCCTATGGCAAAAGTGCCTCGAATTGGAGGGGTTTGAACTTTTTTTCGTATGCACAAGTGCTTGTCTCTGCCAACCTGTGTAATCCACACATCATTTTTATCAATGGATTATTTTTGTAACTTCGGCCTGAACATGTGCAATACGTGCCAGGCTTCTTCAAACCTGAAACGATATGATCCGTCACAGTGGTAGATGAGTTATCCTGAGATACGGGCAAATCGGATAAGGGCAGTGCCCGGTCCCAAGGTACCCGGATAAGAGACGTCCGAGTGTATTCACAATAATCCTCAGTTTAGACTAGGATTTGGAAATGCATTCAAAACCCATCCCTTTTCCTGAAACCCTCCAGGCCAACCCTAGGTTAGTAACTTACCACGCCGCCGGTGCATGCAGTGCAGTCACTGCAGTGGCCACGGGCACGGGGTCTGTAGTCGAGTATGAACTGTGAACTATGATGACTTGTCGGGCCAGCTGAAAAAAACATGACACTGAGCTAGCTGTGCGCCGCCGGCCGGCATGTGCGGGCAAGGCTGTACGAGAGCTCGTACGACATTTTTCTTGTTCTTTCTCTTTCAGAATTTTTTTTGAAGCATACCTATCGCTAGCTGCGAGCTGCGCACGCGATCGTCTACGTGACCAGATGCGAAGTGCTTTGTGCTTTGTGGACAGTCGAGTCATGTCACCACCACTCAGCACCAGCTGCGCCTGCCATAAGCTCATTGCGTAATCCTATATTTGGGAGAGATGATGTAATCGCGTGCCGTGGCAAAGTGCCGAGTTGTGGGCAAAAGTCTTTGCCCGCAACCTCTTCCTTGCCAAAGAGTTTGTAAAAATTTATTTTGATTGTTTGGTGCAGTGCTTTTTTTCTTGTTCGTGTCTTTAGTTCAGTTTTGTACATTGTACATGTAGTACCGTATGTGATGGCGGCGACTGGGTTTGATCCCGATGGCAGCAGCGATTCTTCTCTGTCAGGAGACGATGGTGACAAGCCTAGAGTCACTGGTAGCTACTGTTGTGTTCCGTTGTGCAAATCTGAGTATGGAAAACCAAATTCACCAAAGTTCCATGACTTTCCAACCGATCGTGCTTTGAAGTCTGCTTGGCTACATGCCATTCGTCGTGATGAAGGGAAGCACTTCAAGGTGAAGCCGAAAACAACAAAAGTTTGCGGACTACACTTCCAAGAAAGTGACTATCGTGTTGTGAGTGATCGTGCTTTGAAACGAAGACAAAAGGAGGGAAAGGGTGGCAAGCCTCGACCGCGCTTGGTACCTGGAACAGTACCTACCGTCTTCTCGTTCCATAAATCAGCGACACAGGGCCCTTCGCGAAAACCACCAGCTAAGCGGGTGTTCTTGAAGCCGGTTACGTCAGACTCCAGTTCGAGTGACGAAGATGCTCAGGCAATGGTTGTGGATGACGGTGAGGGCAGCCACCAAGACGACTCAGTGGATGAGTTGGAGAGACTCAGGCAACAAGTAGCAGAATTGAACTTGAAAAATGAGAAGCTTGACTTAGAACTGCAGTCCGCTAAGTCGTCTCGGGATGTGAGTGTGGGTCTTTGCTCCAAACTGTGGAAAGAGCAAAAGACATTGGAAGAGGAGCTCAGGCAGACAAAGGAAAGCCTGGTCCTGCACAAATTTGACATCCGTAGGTTCTCTGAGAAGGCCCACATGGTGAAGCTCTACACCGGCTTCACGTCATTTGACATGTTTATGGCATGTTTTCGCTATCTGGAGTCAGACGCTGCTGAGATGCGAGCTTGGAAAGGATCGAGGACGAAGCTTGATGGTGAGCGACTCGGGAGAAAGAATGGTCCATTGCCTAAACTCAGCCTGGAGATGCAATTCTTCTTTGTATGTGTCAGGTTACGGCAAGGACTCGTGTTGGACGATCTGGCAGATCGATTCAAGGTGGACAGTTCAACCCTGTCAAGGTACTTCACGTCATGGGTGAATTTGATGTATGTGACCTTTAAAGAATTGCTGGTGTTCCCGTCTCGTCGGCGTATCGACAAAGACATGCCCAAATCTTTCAAGATATACTACCCCACTACTAGAGTCATTATTGACTGCACTGAGTTTTTCATCGAGCGGCCGTCCCGTCTGTCCACCAACAATGCAGCATTCTCCGCTTACAAAAATCACACCACGTGCAAGTCCCTCATTGGAATCACTCCTAACGGAACTATCAGCTTTGTCTCCACGTTGTATGAGGGGTCAATCTCGGACAGGGATATAGTCATTGACTCGGGCTTCATCTCACTGATGGACCATGGTGACTCAGTCATGGCGGACAAGGGCTTCAACATCCAAGACCTCCTTGCTCCATACGGTGTCCGGCTGAATATTCCACCATTTAACACCAAGGCACATCAAATGCTCCCCCAGGATGTTGTCGAAACGAAGTCCATCGCTGCTGTAAGAATTCATGTGGAAAGAGCCATCAACCGCATCAAGCAATATCGTCTTCTTGATGGTGTCATTGACAACAATTTATTTGATATTCTTGAGCAAGCTGTCTTCTCAGCGTGTGTTTTATGCAATTACCAACCCACATTGGTTGCTACCTGATATGGT